GTCGTCCATTGCCTGATGGATCCAGTCGTCGGCTGCCGCCAACAGTGAGCCCACCCGGCAACGACAAGCCTGATCGTCCACGGTGAACTTCATCAGTTCGAGGTGATGGGAGCTGCGCAGCGAATGAGCCCGAATAAAACAGCCGGAAAGCTCCCAACTGACATCCGCGAGCATCACGGAGGCAACTCCCAAGGATCGCCCTCTGGTTGTTTCCATTTCCACCTCCGTCAAATGCAGGACAGCGGCCTCGCCGCCTGCACTCAGCTCTAACTCCTGCTCTTGGAAAAAATGGACCACGTCCTCGATGTCGGGCACTGCTACCATGAATCCTCCATTTCTCACACGCACCAAGGTGCCTTGTGCTCTCAAAACTGTGCCTTGAAGGGAGCTTCAGGAACAGACTTGGCAATGCGCCGCCTGGCGCACGGGCCCTGTGCAGGCCCTCAGAGCCTCCTCTGTTAGTCCAGCCGCTGCAGAAGCCGCGGCCATACCCTCTCGGCTCCCAAGCAGTAAGCCTCGCCCTCTGCTCTCGAAGCGAAGCCGTGGCCCACAGCGTCAGCGTGCACCCGCCCAGTCTTCCCGTAAACCGAAGCCCGGAAAGTAGGGTAATGATCAGTCCAGCCGGCTGGCTTGTCAGCAACCCCCCTCAGCACCACGAAGACCTTGTTGGCTAAAGGGATAGCAGGCAGCTCAACCTCAGGTGCGGGTCTGAAGCCCAACTGGTAGCGAGCCACCAAACCACACTTGAGCGCTCGCTCAATGCGAGCAGCTGGCGACCAAGCCCCGGGCGAAGAGCGCAACCGGGAAAGCAGACGCCGAGCCCCTGAAAGATCCAAATTCTCAAAGTCCTCAGGGGTGACCGCTGCTAGCAACGCAGCTTCCCAAGCAGCACTTCCGAAAGGCCTTTGCACAGGCTGCTCCACCAAGGTAGAACTGGTGGCTCCCAGATCGCGCAACTCGCTGATCTGCGAGTCCAAGGGCCCAGCTGGGCCAGCAAGGGCACCCGAGGTGGGGGACCCTACAACTGCAAATGAACCCAGACTGGCTGCCTCGTCCTGTCCTTCGTCACTGTATCCGTCTCGAGCGATCCGAATCCTCAGGCCAGCGAACGACAAAGTCACCTCGTCCAATCCAGCCGGATCGCTCATGCACTGGTGTCTCTGTATTGGCTAAGCCGCCGCCGTGCCAGCTGTTCGTGAGCTCCAGGTTGGGGAGGAAGCCAGGTAGACAGGGCCAGTGACCCCAACAGCTGAACACCGCGCCGACACCCCGGCGAGCAAACACAGCTTGCAGCTAAGGCCCCAAGGCAGCAGCCTCCACAAAACACCAAGGCCAGCGCGAGGCAGATCCAGCCCCAAGGACAGGAGCAAACAGCACCTGTCGGCCAAATGAAGCGCAGCTCGCGGACCAGTTCCACGACTGCGCTCCACTGCATACGCTCTTTGAGCCCAAAGAGCTTGAGCGATCGATTGCTAATGCTTCACATGATAGGTAAACATATACAGTATGTAATCTTTAAAAGGCATCTTGGTCTTCCGACTCTCTTCTGTTTGCCAGGCCAAGGCCCGCCGCTCAGCGTCTTGGATTCGCTGCAATGCTAACCTCAGTTGAAACGCACATCTTACTTTATAACTTCAATGTGTTGATGTTTTGTGTGACCCACTACCAACGTGGTGTGTTGCTTTTACGTTTGTTGCTTGCTCGAAAAGAAAAGGAATTCACCTCTCTGCTTCTTCCGAAGCTCGACGTGCAGCAGCAGCCTCCCAGAAGGCAGCGTCAGCCCAAACTGATTCCACCACGCGTGCCCCTTTGCCATGCCCCAAATGACAGCACACTGAATGATTTGCAATGTGATATAATTTAAGTTGTAGTGCTGCTTTCAAGCAGCATGTTCCTTCAACCCGCCTTATCAGCACGCCCGCGCGAGATGCGCCCTGCAAATACCTGAATTGCAAGCCCCTCATTGGAGAAGGGTGCTGGTGCAAGGCAGCAGGGCAGGACAAGAGTGAGCGACATTCTGCATTAACGCTTATTGCTTAAGAAGTTCAAGTTGAAATTGATCTAATATAGATATATAAATGATCCAGGTGTGAATTTCAGGTAGGAGCTGGGGGCCAGATTTTATAGAAAGAACCAGGTTGGAGTGGATATTTACAAACTATAGAATCCTTAAAACAACATACCTAGATAAGTGGCCATTCTATAAAATTTGGTGGCACAGGTACCCTGCGACACTGTTCCCATTTCTTTTTAGATTTTATAGTGCTATAAAATCCAATCTCAAACAGGGGAACACAGAATCAAACAGAAAAAAGTGGAACCCGTGCTACCTCGACAGCACTGTTTCTAATAGAAAATAATGATTGAACAAATGGGTTTTGGCAGCTCTCGAGAAGGAACCTGTGCCACCTGAGAAGTTTTTCCCAAGTAATCTGAAATTCAAAGTCATCATCAATATTCATCCAAGCAAAGTAACTATCAATGTTGTTGCGTTTGTTTTCTTGATTTTCTTCCGGAGCTTCCGGATTTGATTTTATTTCTGACATTTGTTGTTTGTATTATTTTGCTATATATTGATTTGTCTCAGATAGTTTTCTATTGTTTTCTTGCGCTTTCATTAGGGCCTGACAGCAGCAGTTTTGGACGAAGCAAATAAACTATTCAAAATCCAGCAGCCATCCTTCCTCTCTATAGAATCTAGTTTTCAACTCCACAAACCACTTCTGCTTTCTATAGAATTCTGGATCCTGTGTTTAAGAACCAATATATATATTCTATAAAATGAGTCTTTTATAAAATTCCTATTCCAGCCTTTTCAGGCAAGGCTCTTTCTATAGATTCAGTTGCCAGGTTGCTTTGACAAAGCTGATTTCTCTATAAAATATGATCCCAGGTTGCAAAAGTGTTTCCAAAAAAAAACTGAACACAGGTCTGGCCGATGCTAAAAAAGTCAGTCTTGCTGATTATTTATTGAATTTTTACCGTTTGATTTTATAGTAAAAAACGGGTTCTTTTCTCTATAGAATCCCCCATGACTTCTGAACAACGACTCCCCTGATTTTATAGAGGATTTACCCATGGGGATGATAGATGTCAAACTATATAGTTGCCTAAACGTCTTCACAGGCCTGTGAGAAATGACACGACATGGTTTTTTTTGCCCATGGTTCCAAGGATTCTGCACATTTCATGCCGGCATCACGGCCCAGGTAGGTATCTTTTACCCGGCACGTGTTGGATGCTGATTGGGTATATTAATTACACTGGACAGAGACGTAATAGAAGCAAACATCCACAGCAGCAAAATGTTCCTTTAATGGTTCAGCTTGAATCTCAAAAAGTTGAACATATTGACAAGAGCATGTCAATATGTGTACAGTTTATGGGACGGCGATGGATCACCATATGTGCATGGAGGGCTTTGCATGCGCTCTTGGAGGGCGTTGGATGCTGCGTGGAAGGTTCTGCAACAGTCAGTTTCTTCCACAACAAACACATAAAAAAGAACGAGCCCGGGATTGTTCCACGACGAGCGGTGTCTTGAAGTTAAGAGTGTGCCAACGGCTGTGGCGCCGAAACCTGAAGGTTACCTGCTGAGATAGCTGCTGCCCGCAAACTGCACTAAAGAAAATGTGCGTTGTGCAGCTGAGGTGGGGTGCAGGATGTCGAACTCAGTAGCTTCGGGCAACCCCACTCTAATCAGAATTCCACTGTGTGCTATACTGCCGTCCACAAGGTCTGAGGGACATGGTACCCAGTACCCATATAGTTGTCACATCACCAATGAACTGACTGAGGCAGCATCCTCAAGCTCCTTCTGCCAGTCCCAACTACCTTGGGACAATAAACCCTTGGGTCCAACAGCTCTGTGGACCGCAAGTCGCACTGAATGCCCTCACTCACAAGGCTTTCAAGTTGGGATTTTGCATGGCCCAACAGGTGAACTGGGCGGGAGCAAGCTACTAGCTACTAAGTTACTACATATGGACGCAGGATAGCTCACGCCCTCAGGCGGGGGGAGCTTCCTTGAAGAAGCGCTCGCACTAATGATTTGGTTCCTAGATATTTTAGGGTCACTTAGAGCTGCTACGACTAAGTTCATGGCACACGCTTCCTGTTGCAGCTGCACCGGGAGCCTTGCAAGGCAATTATATAGTTCAACGACGTCGGTAGCGAAAAACAACTCATAGGACACATCTTCCGCCCTACTCTTTGGTACTTGCAATGCTGGTGAGATGTTCTGCAATACGGCTTTGAGCGGACACCAAGACACCTCCATCCCTCCATCAAGTGACAACTATTCTACCCATCTAGACGCATGAATGGCATGAATGGTGCTGTGAAATGTTGTATGGAGCACGGAATGAAGTTAGCTTGCGGTGGGTGGGTTGCACTGTTACACAGCACTCACAAAGGTTCATACACAGATGTCTGCTCTGATTGGCTTGTTGTGGTTGTTGACCGTTTCCTCTGCCTCCGCCGGCTGAGACAAAGAAGCAAAAACATTGCAAAGAACAAATCACCGCTGTTGATTTCTATGGATGGCCAACTAGTTACTTGGATCTTTCTACACCTCTGGTCACCTCTCTGGCAAACTTGTATAAAAGCTTTCTTTTGGTGCCAATCACATACTCTTCACATCAGAGAAAGGGAAGAAATGTCGTCTGCAATATTCTGAAAGTTGACCTTGTCTTCAGCATATCACAGAAGCTCCCTGGGCGCATGCTTTCGCACCTTGACACGCTCTGGTCTGTCGGGTCGCCATTGGACCACAGCAATCTCAGCCAGAGATCTGTCTCCAGGACATTGTCACATGTTCGACTTTGTTCAAACAGCTTTTGTTCAACGCCGTAGCAGCTTCCAAGACTCAGAAACATGTTTGCTGTTAACTCTTGACATCTTTATTTTAACCTGACTTGGAAACAGCCCTTCTACCAAGGCAAGGCCCATTACGGCCCATGCCCCTATGCACAAAGCCTTTTCGGGCTTGCAACAGAGCGTCACACGTGGTGGCCCTTTAGAAACTTAACTATCCTGAGGCGCTCGGTGGAGTACTCCATGTGTTTGTCAATAGTAGCTTCTTGTTGCTAGTAGTAATGGCCTCCAACCTTGTAGCGATGGCCTCCAACCCACTAGCTTCTAGCTACTAAACAAAACATTCGACTTCTGCCTCTTCTTCATTTCCGGATCCCCTTGACACTCGTCCATTCGCAAGGCTTTCTGCGTGATCGGACAGACCTCAAGTGATGTCCAAAAAAAATGTGGAAGCCAAACATGGCTAATGGGAACTGTAGAGAAATGAGTGCAAGACGGATCCACAGTTGGCGAACCACTTCTCTAGGGTCTTCTTTTCAAAGAAGTGCCCATAAGGAGATTGAACCTAAGAAGAGTCCATCGTTGGCCAACTTGGCAGTTGTGGAGACAAGTTCTTCCGGCAGGAGACAGGGTTTCATTGCTCAATGAAGGAAAGCCTCTCCGGCGGAGAGGCCGCTGAGATGTGAACTGGATTCACCATGACCTTTCCGTCTATTGCACACCTCATGTCCTGCAGTACTCGCAAGTTGACAACAAAAATGATTCAATCGAAGCATGAACTTCTGAATAGTCAGTTGCCTCTGGACACTCGACCACAGATCTGGATTCGATCCGGATTTTGTGCTTCTCCTGCTGCAATGCCAAGAACTGCCAACTACAATCAAGTTCCTAAGAAAAGAATTGAGCAGGAATATGACGCAAGGCTTTGTATCAATCAAAATTAGAATCAAGTCCCAAAAAGGCAGCGGCATAGGAATAAACAAAGCCATGTGGCATGCGCATCCTTCAATTTGAGACCGGCCGACATTGGAAAATAGCGGCAAACAGTTCAAACCTCGCTTATCTGCACTCAGCGTCACCGACCTTCTTCTCAGTTTTTGAATCTTGCTTCACCAATGAAGGCAAATCCTAAGCGCAGAACACATGCACCTGACCGCAATGCAAGTCTCCAGGTTGCCAACCCCAAGCAAAGATGGGCCAGTCTGGACCTGAGCTGGATAAGCCCACTCGTGCGTTCTATTGCTGTACACGATCCTTTGCCGAGACATTATCAAAAGGTTGTATACCTCAAGTACATACTCAGCAACATTTAGATACTGTGCACCTTGAATAATCATGCTGAAAGCATTTAAATCAGTTCCCTTCGAGACATACTTGGAAAAATGAGAGACACAAGCAAAAGAAATTCCATGTTTGTTCAAGGTATACAGTTGCTCCAGGAATCTCCATACCATTTTCACAAGCCAGCTGGGATCCTCAGTTTCGGGCCGGCTTGGTGGGGGGTGGTGCTGGCCCCGACGATGTAACTTCTTCCACAGGAGCCTCACAAGTGTGGTAACAAGAAGAAAGCAAACGGAACCCGACAAATGGACGTCCCGATCCTCCTCCTTGGGTCTATCCACAACTTCCGGTGCAACTTGAGACACTGAGAGCATCTGCATCTGAAAGCCCTGCACAAAAAGTGCTTGTTCAGCGGTTCAAAGGCTTGGGGTAGTGTTTTGTATCCTTGCCTGGATGAAGTTTGCGATGTCTTGTCTATCCATGACATCATCCATAGCCTTGGTTGTCTTTATGTTTAAACATCTCTCTTCCTCCATTCCGTTGTCCGTTTGTCATCTGGGTGTGAAGCCAGGGGGGCACCAGTCAAGGGGTTCGAGCCATGTTGGCTCATCCAATCCTGTAAATTTGACCAGTAGAAAAACTGACACTATATTACTCTGACCACAGATTCAACAAAGAACAGCAGCCTGCCTCTATTGCAGCCCTTTCGAAAAGATATCCGTCTGGTGTGCTCACAGGATCGTGCATCAAAGCACCTCAAACTATGATGGTGCTGCACAGCGCACGGAAGGCGTTGCTCACCAAAACAGCCAAAATCACATTATCAGGTAGGCCCAATTCAACGGTTCCGGTTCCAAAACGACATGAGATGTTTGGTGAACAGCTTGAGTTCCCCTTGCCCATCCCCAATCAACAACAGACTGCAGCAAGTCTGGCAAGTCTTAGGAAAAACATCGGGGCTGGGCTCTCAGCCGCTGAGTTGACACACCGCTTTCTGCGGCACACCAGCCTGTAAAGAAATGTGTCTAAAGAGTGTACGGGTTCTTACGGTAGGGGTTGAGGCCGGGTGTCTGATGGGAGGTCTCGCATCCGTACGCGGCTAATTTGCTGCTATTTTCAGTGCACTCACTCACCTCGGAATCGAAGTGCATTTCGACTGCGCAGACTCGCAAAATCTGGTAGGCCCGAGAGGGTGCTCTTCAAGACTCCACTCTTGTTGTGGTGCCGTGCGCATGATTGAACTTGGTGATTTTTCGTGGCAAGCGCACGGGAAACCTCGTGCTTTGGTGGTCCAAAGTCAACTTTTCGTGACAGGTGCAAGTGGTCTTCGGCGTGCTCTGATTTCGTGGCAAGTGCAGTGAATTGTGACTTTGGACATGTGGTTCGTTTTCATAAGTGGGAAGAAGTCTCGGGCGAAAGGTGGGTTTTGGCATCTTGATGTTGTCTGTTGTCTTTGCAATCTTTGGAAGTGCTCTTGCTGCGAGCAAGGCTGTGCGATGTGAATCTTGATGTGCAGGTTTCGTATCGTGGCAGGTGCAGCACTTTGTGGCAGGAACAGTATTTTGTGGACCTGGCGGTGCTTTTTCGGGGCAGGTGGAACACTTTGAAGTGTGGATTTCGCGGCAGGCGCAACTTTGTGGACCTGGAGGTGGCAGGCACAATGCTTGTGGACCTTGAAGACTTCGTGGCAGGCACAGAACTTTGTGGACCTTGAAGTGCAGATTTCGTGGCAGGCGCAGCTTTCATATGTGCGCTCTGTGTGCTCTCACGTGGGCGCTTCTACATGTCCTTTGCTATGTGTGTTCTCTAGACCTCCGGCCTCTCTCTCTCTCTCTCAGTCTAGACTTAGAGATCTGGACCTGGACCTTCCATCTAAACCTGGCTTGTGAACCATCACCACCACCATCACCACCATCACCACCCACCAGCCACCATCACCACAATCCTCCACCTCCACCTCCACCTCCACCTCCACCTCCACCTCCACCTTCACCACCACCATCATCATCCTCATCATCATCATCATCATCACCACCACCACCACCACCACCAGCACCAGCACCACCGCCATCACCACCACCATCACCACCACCACTACCATCACCACGACCACCATCATCACTACCATCACAACCATAGCCACAACACCACCATCACCAACATCACCATTACCACCATCATCACCACCTCCAGACCTTAGACCTTTAGACCCGTCTAATACACTGCCCGCTCCCCCCCAAAAAGGGAGAAGCTCGCTACTAGCTACTTGTTAGCTACTACCTATTGGACGCAGAATAGCTCACCCTAATGATTTGGTTCCTAGACTTTTAGGGACACTTCACTCAGATTGGTTAGGTAGAGCAAAGTCTGATGTCAGAAATCCATACACTTGTTCAGAGGTTCCAGCTGCATCCCTCACCTCATCTGCGACACCCAAGTGGCTTTCCCAACCACCATCTGCTGGGATCTCAGAGCAGCAAGTCTTTCGCTAGACAAGTTGGATCTGTGACAGATCTGTTGGATCCGTGAATCTGTGCTTAGACTTTGCACCAAAGGCATGTGAAGAAGCTCCAGAGTGGCGTACCAGCGGTGGCATGTCATCCTCGTCGGACTCCTGCAAAGCCATAACTCTGGCTGGAACGATGAGAATAACTCCAGTGACTCTCCTGCACAACAATTCCTGGAGCCCCTAGTAGCGTCCTTGCTCCTAGTAGCGATGCCAGGAGCCCCTAGTAGCTTCTTGTTCCTAGTAGTAAGGCCAGGAGCCCCTAGTAGCGTCCTTGCTCCTAGCCCTCAAGCAAACTCTTTCAACAGGTGGAAGGCTTTCCAAGGACCATGCCCAAACGGGAATGTTGTTTGTCGGAAAAATGGGGTTTGCCTGTTTGCCTCTTACATTCATTGGCAAAAAAACCTACAGAATCTTAAAGAGATAAGAGGAGGAGAGATTGTTGTTCAAGCCCCTGGCGAAGCAGCCCAGGATCTCCAGCTCTTTGTAAGATTGTGGGTGGCGCCGTTCAGCACAATCCAGGCTTGTTCAAGTTTGTGGCTACATGCACAATCACAGCTCATCGATGTTGTGCTAGTGCAGCTTGGGAAAGGGAGCAGGGTCATCGCGCGCAAGTCTCCACTCTGCAGCAGCTGGCAATCACTGCTGACAAGCAAGCTACATGAAACCGCTAGCATACGTGGCACAAACATTCCTTATTGTGGATTGGAACGTGCTCAAGACTTCCAAAAAGCACCATCCAGCTCCCTCACTACTGCCAGTGGCCCCTCGCAAGCAAGTGACTTCTTGCCCTTGGCTCAAACTTTCAGCGTAAAGGGGTGGATCTACAAAAGAGTTTGTGCTTCGCTTTGGTTTCATGAAGCTTCACATCCACGTGTGCTCACCATAGGAGTTTCTCTGTTTGAGACATACTGTCCATGTCTACCCTACGCACGCTGTCCTTATGAAAGTAATGCAAGAGTGAGACAGCCCGCCTCCTCATCACCCTGCTCATCGTCTGCCTCAGGTTCCTCGTCGTTTTGATGAGACGCCTTGCGAACGAGAGGGCGAACATAAGGCTGCAATCCAAAAATAGTCTTTCAATAGATCTGAGTAGATCTGACGGAAAGCCTGCATGGCAAAGAGCTTCTTTCTTCTTCTCTGCTTGCCATGCCGCCACTTGCCCTTTCGGCGGGTATGTTTCACCGCCGCTGCTGCTGCTTCTGGTGGCGCCTGGACCAAATCTCTCGAGCGTCGTCACATGTCTTACCATACCATAGAGGAGCTTTTTCCGTCTTGAACGCAACAAAAAATCATATAACCTCCTTAAGAACATCTTGGAAGGCAATTTGTGTTCAAAATAAATATTGAAGTGCATTTTGCCTTGCTAGGCAGAAATCTGTTCGCACCTAGCCCTTCTCTGTCTCTCTACATTGAGCAGCATAATTACATCTCCAACCTGCTCAGGGGTCGCCAGCGCGAAGGACAGCAGCTCGCAAGCCTCAGTATTGAATGCAAGTCAGGCCATTGCTGTGGCGGTGGCGGCGGTGGTGGTGGTGGTGGTGGTGGTGGCAGTGGTGGCAGTGGTAGCAGTGGTAGTAGTAGTCACATGTCCAAGTCTTGCGTAGAAGTAGAGATGCGATTGCCATGCGCGAGAGTCCCAAAAACTAGTCACTGGTCTCTGATGCTGAAGTCCATGTGATTGTCTCGTCTGAGAAGCCTTCAAGGATGAACGTGTAAATGGCAGCCGCATGCTTTGCTCGCAGGTTAGCCGTCGCTGCAGTCGAGCCTCCCGAGGAGGTTGGAGGCTTCTATTACTCTACTGTAGTGGCACTCACTGGCATGGGGCCGTCACAGTTCAGCTGCTTTTGCCTCTTGCCCTTTGTCAAGGGTCAATCACGGCCACGTGCCCTTAAAAATACATGTGCGCACATATAAATATATATATATATATGATTAGTGGAGGGGAGACTGTTAGAAGCTCAATACATTGCCCCTGAAAACTTACTTCAGACTCCCGACCTGGCTTTCAGGCGCAAGCTGCTCAAAGGCTCCCTGGCCGGATCCCATGAACGATTTGGTGCATCAGTAGAAATGTGGCAAAGACCACGACAAAAACTGCTGTCCAATTACGCCACCCAGAAAACTCAGGGACCACACTGAGAGTTGAGCAAACTTGCAAGTCCCCTTCAGGCAAGTCTTCCAAGGACGCTTAGAATGGAAATGCCATAAACTCTTTGTCGCATCTTCATCCTTTGATCTCTTGTTGACCTGAAAGAGCTGCGTCAGCATCTCACAGAACCTGAAGAATTAGCTCAGAAGTATCTCCCCGTGTGGTGTCACCATCTCTCTTGCCCAAGGCAAGCACGGTCCTTTGGTGTAGTCAACGTTGATAGCCAGCTTAATCTGCGCAAAGGTGGCCAACTGGTTGTTCAGTCAGGTTCTGGGAACAAAGGGCACCGCTACTAGGAGCAAGGACGCTATTAGTAGCTCCTGGCATTACTACAAGTGACAAGAAGCTACTAGTAGCAAGGACGCAATTAGGTGGAGGCCATCGCAATTAGGTTGGAGGCCATCGCTACTAGTAACAAGAAGCTACTAGTTTCAACCTTCCTGACATTCTGAGATCCACACTAGCAGCTCCAACATCGACACATGAGTCAGGATCCGGGGCACCTCCAAGAATCAACAGCACTTGGGAGCTCAGGACTCAAAAGCATCCCTTCTCAATTGCAGCTTTAAAGGGGTCGTGTCTTCAAGTCTACCCATTCCGGCCCATTCTACGCCTCGCACAACTTTGGGATCATATCAGAATCTCTCAGCTGCGGCCGGTAAACCTTTGCGCAACGATGTGATGGAAAAGTGGCACCTGTTACTAGTAGTAAGGCACCTGTTACTACTAGCGTGGCACCTGTTACTACTAGCGTGGCACCTGTTACTAGTAGTAAGGCACCTGCTACTACTAGCGTGGCACCTGTTACTAGTAGTAAGGCACCTGTTACTACTAGCGTGGCACCTGTTACTAGTAGTAAGGCACCTGTTACTAGTAGTAAGGCACCTGTTACTACTAGCGTGGCAC